CTTTCCTCGCATAGTTTCAGGAATATTGCAGTTTTTTTTACAGGTCGACTATCCCAATAATACACGGGGCTACTTCAGACCTCTGGCTACTGATATTTCGAAGGATGGGGACCGTGTGTCGTCTTTGGTAAATTCCTTAATTATTTCTTACGCTTATTCTCTTTGGCCCTGCGTTGTCAGTCTCTACGTGCAAAGCAATAATGCTTCACTTCTACGGTTGTTTTATAGGTGTTGATCTCATCTTCAGAAGCATGGAGTGATGCGGCTGATGTGACCTTAACCCTTGTTCTTCTTTCGGATTCATCTCAGAAGGCTGTTTCAGGTGAGATGTCTGTGAAGTTTCTAGACAGTTTCGAAGCGCTGTCGTTCGCGGCCGCCGTTCTGGTTTTCTCATCTGTAATTTCTTTCCAGTGCCGCTGCTCGACTCGCCCAGTAGTGCCCAACCGGCTTCAGTTCGATTACGAGCCCATCCGATGACAAGAACATAAATACCTGTATAGAAGCACTAAAAGAACTGTTTATAAATATGTATGTTGTTGTGACTTTTTCAGTGAGTACTGGTTGCTTTTGCAACAAGATATACCGGAGGGTATACAGCTTCATGGTTTTCTTGCTCTTTAAACGGAACCCTTTGTGATAACCCTGGGGCAAGTTCCAGTAGTATTCGTTGTCCCAGTTTTTCAAAAATAATCAAATTGCACGAGTGTGTGAGATCGAATGATTGAAACAAAGTTTTTTATTTGTTAGCTATAGATCGAAACAAAATGTTCATCCCCAATGGAATTTTTGCAAAAAAAAGCGAGTCGACTCTAAACTTGCTCGAATCGGGAAATCTCCGGCTATAAGCTGGGAGCAGGGAAACGGCGTGAAATGGTTTCGTGAAGGTTCGCAATTAACTTTGGCTGGAAAGAAAACCAACCGGGCGTTGGTCTCACTAATAAATCAATTTTGATGAGAAATTTATGAAAGGTCACCCCGCTGGCACCATAGAAAGGATCAGAGTGCGCTCATACTCCGCCTTAGGCAGCGTCAGACTTCGCGACGGCAGCGCTTCGGTCGCGCGTTCGACGCGATCGATGCGCATGCTTTCGACTGCATCGATCGTCGAACGCGCGACCGAAGCGCTGCCGTCGCGAAGTCTGAACGCTGCTTTAGCGTT